GACGGTGGCTGCCGGGCTTCTCACTCGTTCCAAATGTACCGGAAAGCTGGATGACATGGCGCAATCGGTCTCGCTCTCCTATGAGGCCCTTTCCCACTGCTCTCCCGCAATGCCCATTCGCCTTGTACTCCTTGACATCCTTGTTCCTGCTCTCATTACCCGCTTTACTCACGAAGGACGGCAAGAGGATCTAGAGAAAAGTATTGAATATGGAAATAAAGCGCTCGCACTTTCCCCGCAGGGTCGCCCCGACCGCCCTCTCTCTGTGGTCAACCTGGCCGTTGCGAAATGGACCCGCTTCGTGTTTGCCAGCAGACGGGAGGACATAGAGGATAGTGTTGCCTCTCTCCGTCAAGTCGCCGAACCGCTTTCATCCGGAGCCACGATTCGTGCTGTAGCTCTCGGCAGACTAGCAGACGCTCTACGCCACCGCTTCATGTCTTACGGAGCTCTCGAGGACCTGGAAGAAAGCATAGTTCTCGGGAAAGAAGCGCTGTCCACCTGCGATCCGCACGCGCCAAGCCGTGCAATGATACTCAACAGCCTGGCCTCCTCATTCGGTCAGCGCTTCGGATATGCTGGAGAGGACGAGGATTTCAACTTGTCGATGGAGTACATTCGGGAATGTCATGCATCTTTCACGGCGGGAGCACTGGCGTCTCTGGACTTGTTTGTCGGGCCGACGCTATTCCTCGATGCAACCCTGTCCAGGAAACAGGGCATGACATATCCAGGCGTCGGCTTGGTGCAGGGCGTACTGGATGCTTGCCCTCCTAGGAATCTTCATCGTCCTTCTCTCCTGGGTGTGTTTGCTTTGTCCGCTCTTGTGCAAAACCAGGAAAGCGACAACCCGGAGCATTTGGAGACCTTCTTCTCCTTCACGCGGGAGGCCCTTTCCTTATGTCCGCCAAGAGCTGCTGCTCGCCCTGGTTTACTCCTTAACTTGGCAGTGGCGCTGGACACTTGCTTCTGCAGGAGCGGGGAACCAGACACACTTACCCAGAGCATAGAGACCGCCCACGCCGCTCTGTCACTCTGTTCATATGCACACCTTCATCGACACAAAATACTGGAGCAGCTCTGGAAGTCTGTTAGGCGTATTTTTGAGCAAACAGGGGATCTGGAGGTTTTGAACAAGTCTATCTCCTACCTCCACGATGCAGTCGCCCTTTGTCCCCTCAAATCTCTTCTTTACCCTTCGCTTATCCAGAATTTGGCAACTGCTTTCTGCGAGCGATCCATTCACACGAAGCAGGTGGATGATGTGGATGTATCTCTTGGATACTTTCACCATGCTCTCTCGCTTTATCCTGCCCCGCACCATGCGAGCGTATTTCTGCTAGGCGGTCTTGGTGCGTTGTTCCAGCGGCGCTTTAGGATGACCGGAAACCACGCCGATTTGGATAAGTCTGTTGAATTCTTTGAAGAATCCCTATCCTACGGCACCTCAGATCCGCCATTCCATATCCGATACCTGCTATCAGAGCTGACAACCACCCTGTGCGACCGCTATGCAACAATAACGAGAAATATTGAGGACATGCAGAAGAGCATCGAATACGGACAGATGCGCCTGTCTCTGTGCCCTCCAGGACATCCTGATCACGCCGAAGCATTAAGAGACTTGGCGCATACGCTAAAAACTCGCCATCTGATCGACGGGGACCCGGAGGATTTGGAGCAGTGCATTAACTATCTAGAGATGGCCTTTGCTTCGTTATCGCAAGAAGCATCACTCCCGCCTTCCGACTTCGTGACATTCTTAAATACGATGTCTGCACTGGCATCAGCTCTTGCTCAACGATCGTTGACGACAAGTCGGCACGAAGACCTCAATAGGAGCGTCGACCTCAGTTACAAAGCGCTTGCGCTTTGTCCTATAGGCCACCCCAGTCGCTATCGTGCCATAGATAGTTTGGCACACACTCTCAGAGTACGATACGAAATTAATGGCAACTTGGGCGACTTGGAAAATTCGATCATCTACTTGCGCGAAGTTCTCGAAATGGAATCCGGTTCAGTCGGATTCCTCAGTCGTGTTTCTACCGTATCGGCTCTGGCGAGCGCTTTGTCTAGCCACTTCCGATGGACACGTCAGCCCGACGACCTCAGAGACAGCATCAAGTACAGCTATGAAGCTCTGTCGCTTTGTCCGCCAGGGCATTCGGGTCGTGCCGCTGTTTTATTCACCCTATCGACATCATTGTGCGAACGATTTAACCTGACGAGATGGCTAGAGGACTTAAACTGCTCCATCTCCTTTCTCCGCGAGGCGATATCCGTGGATCAAGATCACAAGTCGCCTTATCATTTGAGATTGTTGAACGATCTAACGCAGGTTCTTTGCATTCGAGCGCGCGCCGAAGACCTCAAAGAAAGCATGCGTTACCTAGAGGGGGCACTGCATCTCTCTCCACCCGGACACCCTGACAGGAGCAAAGTTATCGCTGGCTTTGCTCGGTACTATGAATGTCGATATGACCTGACTGGGGAGCCTGAGGATATACAGAAAGCTATTGACTACTTCCGGGAGGCTTTATCGCTCTCAGGCACAGATCAGTCCTCTAGTTCTTTCTCAGTGCATCTGGCCAACAGCTTGGGAGCGGCGCTAATGAAGCGATGCAGAGCACTTCAGACAGTGGAGGACCTTGACGAGTGTATTGATCGAGGACATAGAATGCTGTCGCTGAATCCTCTGGAACAAGGTCACCCAGAACATCTTGATTTATTGCACAATCTCGCAACTTCTTTGAGCGAGAGGCATCGCAAGACGGGGAACCAAGAAAATATCCCCAATGCTATCATCTATGCCAGAGAAGGGTATGTTTTTCTTTTAGAATGTCAAGGAAATACGACTTACACCCGCAACCAGTGCGCTCGTCGAATCGGCTCTCTATCGTCCGAAGCAGCTGGGCTGTGCAATATTGTGGGCACGTCTAGCCCATGAAAATAGCCATCCTTCAGCACTACATGCCTACCGCAGGAATCTTGAATTGTTGCGGCAAGATCTTGCGAACGCCCCAACGCTGGAAATGCAACACGAGTTGGTTCGAAACCAGCAATCTTTGCCTTTGGATGCTGCAGCATACGCAATAAGCCAGGGAAATCTCGAACTCGCTGTGGAGATGCTAGAGCAAGGCAGAGCTTTACTCTGGTCCCAAGTCCGCCGCCTGCGCACACCCCTCGATCAACTTTCTGTTGACGAGAGCTTGAGACCTCTTCGAGATACTTTCCTGGAGAAGAGTCGCGCACTCGAGACAATCAGTATTTCCGCGAGTCCATTCATATCCATTTCAGCTATCGGCGAACGCCCCGATCCATATGGGCATATGCTCGAGACGAAACGCCGCCTGTCTGCCGAACTGGACGAGGTCATTGATGAGATTCGCGCAAAGATTCCGGACTTTCTCAGGCTACCCTCCTACGACAGACTTAAGGCAGCTTCTACGGAGGGCCCGGTTATCATCGTAAATATCAGCAGATTCCGCTCAGACGCTCTAATCCTTGTCTCAGGCGATAATCTCAGCTGTGTCGAGTTGGTTGATGGCTTGTCCGAGAGGGCGGACGACTTGGCAAACAATCTTCTACAGGCCCGCGAGGCCCTGAGCACTGCGCCGAAGAGATACGATCGAGTTCTGCGCCGGACGCTAGAAGACCTCGCGGAGCTTGTGGTAGGCCCTGTCTTGGAGAAGTTGAAGGAGCTCGGAGTCAAGGAAGGGTCGCGGATTTGGTGGTGTCCCACGTCTGTATTGTCCGTACTACCGTTACATGCAGCGGGCCCGATCGCGACGTCAGAGCCGAGATCCCCCAAAGGCAAAGCATACCTTCCAGACCTGTATATCCCATCCTACACTCCGACACTTACTGCGCTGATCGAAGCCCGAGCGGTTGGCAGTGCTCGTCGAGCAGAGCACAAGGGCCTTCTCGGTGTCGCTCTGCTCGACAAGTCGCTGGAAGCTGTTGGCAAAGAAGTGGAGGTCCTCCGCACACACTTCGCGGATAGCGACTTAACGCTCGCCATTGAGGGTCATTGTGGCCGTGAAGCGGTGACTGCAGGTCTCGCGGAACGGCCATGGGTGCATTTCTCCTGCCATGGGACGCTAAAATCTGGCGAGCCTCTCAACTCAGCCTTCATCCTTTCCGGAGATGAGCGGATCACTCTGCTTGACATTATCAAAGCCGGCCTCCACCGTGAAAATGCCGAACTAGCAGTACTATCAGCCTGCCATACCGCTGAATGGACACCGGACAGTGCGACGGACGAGGCACTTCACCTGGCGGCTGCGATGCAGTTTTTGGGCTTCAAGAGCGTGGTGGGGACGATGTGGCAGCTGCAGGATGAGGATGGGCCGACGTTTGCCAAAGCTTTTTACGACGCATTGTTTGCAGAGCGACGCGAAAAAGATATGCCCCAAGGATCAGAGGTCGGATTCAAGAGGGCGGCAAGGGCACTATGCTCAGCTACGAAGGAGATGCGGCGAAGCAGAGCTAATCTGGAGAGATGGGTCAATTTCGTGCATATCGGAGCATAAGTTCATCCATGTAATTGTACAGAACGTGCGTCAGTAATCATGAGCGCCCTTGGACATCCTGACGCTGTGGAGACAAATTTGAAGCGCACCTAGTCCATCTATTAGTAAAGCACAGTGGCTCGCTCTACGCTGAGCGCAGGTAACCACGGGATAAAATTTTGGGCGAGATAGATGAGTATGCTGATTACCAAGATCGCAGCTAGAAAGGGCTACCTCAATACTACAACTGTGGTGCCTACCGTTCGACGCGGACTATTGTCAAGAACACCAGCATTAACTTCATGAACATTCTACTCTCCGAGTCTGCGCTATCACTCATGGTATACATCGCCGTTGATCGTCGACACTGTAACAAATGCCAGAGATGTCAGCGTGGTGAGATCACGGGGACTTCTAGGATGCCACGCCGACACTACACATCTCATGTTAATATCACTACGACGATCATTTAGCCTCCGGCACTGGCAGTTCCGCCCGGTCCTTCGCTTCAGCGCACTTCAGTCGACAAGACGTCCCCTCCGATGCACTCGTTGCTCTAGTGAACCACTTCACTCTGCAAGTACATCCAGGTTCGGCCTTCAAGCTTCACCCCGCAGCTCCGCCACCTCAATCCGAGAGTATCAAGGCTATGTTTAGCATCAATGAACCGCTCGATGACCGTGACCCATATCGCGTCTTTCTGCGCGACATCTGATGTGTCCTGAATTGCAGCTTGAAGGATGCGCTGCGTCTCACCGAAGACGACCATCTTCTCGTGCCCAGTCTCGAGAACTCCTGCGTGCACCAAGAGCTCGTCGCTCGTCCGCCGCCTCGTCGTCCGTCTGCCGCACCCGCTATCATCCAGCAATCTTTTATCAGCGAAGCTCCTTGATATGGATCCAGCGTACTTTCTTCCGCTCTTCCGGGACAGCACCTCGCACCGTACGGAGCTTTGTATTATCCTCTGTGAACCCCTTGGTCACCATCCTCAGGCACCATCCCAAGTCCCGCTGCTCCGTAGACGGCTCGGTT